GACACGATGAGTATCCTTGGACAAAGGAGGACAAACAACAACACTGCCGAGTGCTGGACCTCGTGCTAGGGGCTTGGCACTTGTACTTTCAAATCCCACAGCACATCCTGTTTTACATATGTGGAAACTGAGGCTCAGAGAGGTGGAGCTTCTTGCTTAGTTAGGGGTGTAGATGATTCCACATCTTTTGGCTGCTCTCTCTAAAATTATTATTTATATGGGGCGGGCATAGTGGCTTGCGTCTGTAATTCCGGCACTTTGAGAGGCCAAGGCAGGAGGATCTCTTGAGACTGAGCTCAAGACCAGCCTGTACAGCATAGCAAGACGCCAGCTCTACAAAAAGTTAAAACGATTAATTGGGCATGGTAGCGCATGCCTGTAGCTCCTGCTACTCAGGAGGCTGAGGCTGGAGGATCACTTGAGCTTAGGAGTTTGAGGCTGCAGTGAGCTGTGATCATGCCACTGCGCTCCAGTCTGGGTGACAGAGCAAGACCCTATCTCAATAAAGGAAGGAAGAAGGGAGGGAGGGAGGGAGGCACTTACTGTAATGAAGGGGCCACAGGAGCAAGGGATTACAACCCAGTCAGAAGGGTCTGAGGACTCCCAGGATACAGTTGTTGGTGCCCTGGGTAAGCCACTTTGCTCTCTGGACCATAGCTGACTCATCTAGGTAATGAGGTTCCAACTCCGACCTGTGGTGCTGCCCAGTGAGAGTAATCTGAAGGGGAGGGGTTTGGTGGCAGTCAGACTTCCCTCCCTTCCCCAGCATTTACCCACCACCCACTCTGGACCAGGCTCAGACCAGGGCTGAGGGCTATAGCTGAAAACGCCAGCTTTTGGGGTTGCCTGGATTCCCATCCTGGTCGTGTGGCCTCCTGGCTGGGTTCTTCCTTCTCTGGGCCTCTGTTTTCTTGTCTTGCCATGGCCCATTCCCAGGGTGCTGTGAGAAGTAAAACAAAGTGGCACAGCCTGAGGGAGCATGAGACTGAGGGAAACTCTCCCTCCTTGCCTGGGGAGACAGATCCCTGTGGGCAGGATCCCGACCCCCATCTACCAGGTGTGGGCAGATGAGGCATGTCCCTGACTCTGGCATGCAGTCTGGTCAGGTCTCTGGCGTTCAGGCCACAGGGCAGGTACAGAGGCAGGGCTGGGGAGGCCCGTGTGGGAGGGAGAGAGGCCATGGCCTGTCTGGACTTTGTCCTAGAGCAGCAGGGAGCTGAGACCACTAGGAGAACGTGCTCAGAGCGAGTCTGGGGTGACCTTGCACAGGATGTGGAGAGCCCCGGGTGGGGGAGGGGAAGGCCAGGAAGCCTGGAAAATGGGACAGCCATGGAGAAAGGCTTTGGGTTTCCACCTTCTCAGGCCCCCTCCCCAGGCTGGGCTCAGAGCGAGTCTGAGCACCACGGAGACCACCCCAGTGCAGCTGGGTCTGTGGGGCTGGAGGAGGACTGGGAAGCGTTCCAGGGAGCCCCTGCTCCCTAGGGAGGCGCCTGCCTGGGGCCTGGGAGGCAGGTGGCATCTTGCAACCCTGTAATTAGTAGATAAAGCAGACAGGGGAGTGGGGTAGGGGTGGCAGGGCAGGGGAAGGGTGGCTGGCTGAGAGCTGCAGCTGGTTCCTGGGTGTTGCCTCTGTCTCTAGCACCCCACACGTCCCCAGAAGGGCTGCCTAGAGTGGCCGGAGGACCGCAGGCAGAAAAGGCACTGGGATCTTGGGGAGGGGGATTGCAGAAGTCAGAAGGAGGCTCTTAACAGGGACGTCATACTGTCTAATGCAGGTTTGGACAACCCATTTGTGCTGCCCCCAGTCCCAGAGAGGGAAACTGAAGCCCAGAGCGAGGCAGAAGCTTACCAAAAGACACATAAGTCAATGAGAAAGCAGGCTAGGGCTGGGAGCCAGGTTTTTCTGGAGGGTTGGAGTGTGAATGGTTCACTTGTGGGTGTGGGTTTCAAGCCCTAGAGGCTGCCTGGTAGTCAGGCTGGGCAAGATGGCCTTGGCTGGGGAGCAGGACAGACTCAAGGCCCCCAGCCCTCACACTTTGGGCGGAGGAGGGGTGGGGTATGTCTGGCCTAGCCAGTTCTCAGCTTGTCTGGGCACTCCGGGCACTGCTCTGCTGCCCCCGGGCTGCTGTGACTCTGGGTGCCTGAGCTGACGGCCTTGGTGGAATCCAGGCTCCCCTCCAGGAGGAAGGCTTAGCCAGGCGGCTGAAAGCCCCTTCTAGGAATGGCATGACTGGGGGTGGGCGGGGTTTGAGTTGCAGGCTCTACCATCCCTCCTCCCTCCCTAAAGATGCCCACTGGCTCAGGGTACCATTCTGGCTGCTGGAGGATCCTGAGCTTTCAAGGAGCAGCTGGTGGGGCAGAAGAAGCAAGCACATAAATGACTCCCCAATGCACTAAGAATGAACAGAGTAGGCTAGGCTTTTTTTGGTGGGAAAGTAGGATTTACTGAGAGTACAGAAAAGCTCCCAGAGTGGGAGCAGGCCTGAGAGGGTGGTCCCAGGAAGAGCTTTGAAGGGTTGGTGGGACTCAATGGGGGCAGGGCTGTTCTGCAGAGCATTGAGGGGACTGGCATGGCTGAAGCTGCAGGGAGTGGGGGTGAGGCTGCAGAGGTAGGAGTCATATGGGCCTTGCCTTGGAGGGTGGGGGGGTGGTGACAGTCGGGAGCGTGCGTTCTGGCCTCCCGCCTGACCTGGGATCCCAGTTTTACCACTAACCAGCTGTGTGTCTCCCTCTGAGCATCTGGCTCCTCAGCATCAAATGGGGGGTGGTGGGGTAGGATGTGCCTAGCATGAGATGATGCCCATGAAGCACACAGAGAGGCCCGATAAATTTTAACTGTCTCACAGTCACCTCTACTGACAGAAGCCTGCTGGGGTTCTGAGCCCAGAGTGACATGTACACTTGGTGTGACTGGACCTCGCGTGGACTTGGGCTCAGCACCTCCCCTCACTCTCATTCAGTTTCATCTATTCAAAGAGAAACAGGACTAAGCCAGAGGAAAAATCCTCAAATGCCTCCAGGGCGGGGCAGTCCTTTCAATGAGATGGGTGCAGGGTAAGGCAGCAGGGAGCAGTGGGGACTGTGGTGCACAGGGTGTCTGTGCCCCATCCCAGGGAGCAGCCACCTCTCAGCCCATCAGCTGTGGTCATGTGGAGTGAAAGCCCTGGTGGTCAGGGTGCCTATTTCTTGAGAGAGGGATACCCACACTTTTGTGGGAAAATATCCCGTTACTAATATTAGCAATGCATCAGGTACTTTTTTTTTTTTTTTGAAAGCAGGATTTATTGAGAGGACAGAAAAGTTACCAGAGTAGGAGGGGACCTGAGGGGGTTGCCTCAGGTATGTTTTTAAAGCATCACATGAGCCAAAGCTAGTGCTTCTGTTACCGGATGCTGCTGCCACGACCCCTGGGTGACATGCCATGGAGGGGCTGTGAGCAAGGACAGAGCACACGTTCCAGGACCAGAGCACCTCCAAGCTCTGCGTCCCCTCCCGAGGCCTGGGTTTTCCTGTGGACTGCAGAGGTGGGAGGCCAGACCCTCTCCCCACCGACATTCTCGGGAGTGGCCCGCCTGGAGATAGGGGCTGTAATGAGGCCCTGCTCTGTGCTATCTCGCAGGAGGTGCCAGAGAGTCTAGGGGAGTCCGGCCTCGCCAGAAGGGGTCTGCTCTGTGTCTGGGAATGGCAGGCCCAGCAGGTCTGGCCGGAGGTGGCTCACAGAGCTGGTGTCAGTGAGGGCCTGGCTCCTAACTCCTGGGGGTCAAAGGGCAGCACTTATTTCTGGGGCCAACTTCCTGTTTGGGAGAGAAAGCAGAAAGACCCCAGCAGGAAATGGTCCTCTTCTCTAAAAAGCCGTCAAGGGGGAATCCCCATGGCTACCTCATCACACCCTCCTTTCCCCTTGGAGCCCAGGGAGGAACCTGGGGCCTCTTTGCCATGGCAGCAAACCCTACCTCAATGGCATTGTGAGTTTAGACTTGGCAACAGGGAATGTGTTCAGTGCCTGTATTTACTAGCTCCTGGCTGGGCTCGTGGGGCCGCCTGTTCCCTCTTCTCAGCTTCAGGGTGCCCCTGGGACACAGCACTGTGGCCTCAGGGGTCCCTCATGACTAGGCCAGCTGGTCATTTAGCATAGATCTCCATCCCTGGCAGGGAGCCTCTTTATCAACTGAACTCTTTGGTGCCAGGGTGGAGCCCCAGTTTCTCCTTGCATACCCCTTAACTCGGAGAACTCACCCCCTTCTGCATACTAGAACAATCCTGACAATGTCTCTTTCTGCAGAAAGTAGGTCTGGTGCTGAGAACTGGTTGAAAGTGTCTCATCAGAAGAGCAGGTGCCCTGAATGCCAGCTTGACTCTGAAAGATCAAAAGTGTGTGTTACTGTGTTTCTAATAACCATTTCCATCAGATTCAACATACATCTGTGGTTATAGGTCTAGAAATTAAACATCAAAAATAGAATTACCTATAATTTCACTCCCTAGAGCAGGGATGGGAAAGATAAAAAGGTTTGTTATTTATCGTATCCACACCTACCTCTGGGTAAATTCTCATCAATCACCTGAACTCCATCCCCGAGCCTAGCTGGCAAATCCTTCCTCTCCAGGGAAGATCTTCAGATATTTAATAATAACTTGCCTTTACTGAGGTCGGGATTAACGTATCTAATCCTCATGACAGTTCTATGAGATGTCTTAACTGGAGAAACCAAGGCTCAGAGAGGGTAAGTAACTTCCCAGAGGCTACACAACCAGTAAGGGGCAGAGTAGAGATTTGAATCCATTGGTGCCAGAACTGAAGTCTCTTCTCCAGAGTATATGTGCACTGTGACCTTCTCAGTCCCCATCACAGGAGGTGGACACCAGACCAGCAGCTCAGATGTTCATTCATTCATTCTTTCTCACACTCATTCATTGAATCACTTGCTATTCCTGGTTCAGTGCCAGGTGCGGACTGATGTGTCTCCCACAACTGTCACATTTTAAGGACTCTGCCCCAAGAACTTGAACTTCATTTATTACAAAAGACTGAGTTCACCACACTGTACTAGGAACATCCCCTGCCAGACCTCCAAGGTCTGGAGAGGCAGCCTGGGTTGGGACCCAAAACAATCCCCTCTTGACACACCCCAACCCTGCATGACGTCCTAGGTGGGTAGGGTGGCCTGGACTGGGCCTTGGAGTATTCCTGTATTTATAAAACCAAATGGGTCCCGGGCATATATATAATATATACATATCTACATAAAATACAGGCTTCCCTTTTATGGGTGTTGGGAGGTGGGACTGTCGATGCCCTCCTTGGGAGGGAAGAAAGTCGTTGGTGGCAGGGAGCAGTGTCTGGCCCCAAAGAGAACTCAGGCAGCGGCATCAGTTCCAGGGGCGAGTGGGCCTGGACCCCAGGGCTCCCCATCCTGCCCAGTCCCACGAGGCTCTAGGCCACCTGGATTTGCAGGTCCTCGTCCTCATCCAGGTCGCTGGCTCCATCCCCGGCCTCCTCGGTGCCAAAGCGAGCGCTGCGGATCTTCCCGAAGAGGGGCGCATTCTGCTGCTGCCTGCGGAGCCTGTGGGCGATGGGGGGTCGGGTCAGAGCCGCGGCCTAGCCCTGCCACCTCCCTGCTGCCAGGCACACGTGAGGCCTCTTCCATGGATTGCCTCATCCTGCATAACCCTCACAGAAGCCCCTCTTCTGAAGGAGGTGCGGCGTCAGCCCCATTTTACAGATAAGAAAACAGAGGCACAAAGAAGGGGAGTCATTTGCTCACAGTCCCACAGACGGCAGAGTGGGGCCGGGCTCCGGGCAGAAGCGCTGGTTCCGGAGCAGCCGACTGTGTGGGGAGGCGAAGGAGCTGGTCAAGGTCAGGCTGCTACGATAACAACCAATTCCACAGGCAGCAGAGTCCAGGGTGGCGGCGTGGGGGTGGTCTGAGCCCCCCCCCACGCATTCCCAATGGCAACAGGAAAGGGCTCAGCCCATTCTTCCTCACATTAAAATTCCTCAAGCCAAAATTTACGAGGCAAACTTTGAGTCTAAGAAGAGCTGGTGAAGGAAATGCCCGTCCCCGCTCCCCGCCCTCAGCAAAGTGGCCGCCCTGGCCGCATCTTACTGGAAGGCATGAATTATTAACACGGCAAGGAGGGGCACAGGCGGGGGCCTCCATTACTGCACAGTGATTTAGTGAGCTGTCCCGGAACATTAAAGCACAAAAAGTTGGAAAAGAAAACAACACAGCGGCCCAGGGTGGCCCCGCCCTCCTGATGGAAGCACTGGGAGGCTGAGCAGTGCCTGCCTGCTCGGTTGGGAGTTTATGGCTCCCGAAAGCCCAGGGGCGGAGTGGCCTTTCAGGGTGTGTGCTGCAGGGTCAGAGTGGGCAGAGCTGGCCAGGCACGGAACCTGACATGGACCTGTGCCTGGGCCCCTGCACAATCCTTTGTGGGCATCACTTCAGGCAGGTGGGGAAACTGAGGCTCAGTGGGCCACAGCACACAGATGTTAGGGTGTGGCTTCGCAGCCTGTCCTCTAAGCCACAAGATTGCAAGGCACAGCAGCACACAATAAATGCTCAATAAATAATAGCTCAGACGGTGATGGCCACGATCGTGCCTGGCGAGCCACCAGCTGTGGCCAAGGAAGGACTTATCTTCTCAACCTTAGTATCCTCATCTGCCTCTTAGAAAACAAAAAACCTCTCTCCTTCCCTTTCTCTCACAGAAGCAGCATGATGCTTGCAGCACAGTAACTGACCCCAATACAAGCCCCTTCCCCGAGGCAGTAGTCACAGCCGCAGCTGCCAGTTACACAGCATTTACAATGTGGTGGTACTTTTATAAGCCTGGATCAGCTCAGCTCATTTAATTCCTCACAGAAATCAAGAGGTTAAGAATTGTTATTGTCGGCCAGGCTCGGTGGTTCAGCTTGTAATCCCAGCACTTTGGGAGGCCAAGGTGAGTGGATTGTCTGAGCCCACGAGTTCGAGACCAGCCAGGGAGACTTAGTGAGACCTTGTCTCTTCAACAAATCAAAAATTAGCCAGGTGTGGTAGTGTGCACCTGTAGTTCCAGCTACTTGGAGGGCTGAGACAGAAGGATCACTGGAGCCCAGCAGGTCGATGTTGTCGCTGGGGTGGCCGTGAGTGTGCCACTGCACTCCAGCCTGGGCAACAGAATGAGACTCCAACTCAAAAAAAAAAAAGAAGGAAAAAAAAAAAAGAATTGTCATCGTCATGAGCAGTGGCTCACGCCTGTAATTCCAGCACTCTGGGAGGCAGAGGCAAGAGGACTGCCTGAACCCAGGGTTTGAGACCAGCCTGGGCAACTTGGTGAGATGTCTCTACAATAAAAAAAAAAAATTAGCCGGGTATGGTGGTGCATGCCTATAGTTCCAGTTACTTGGAAGGCTGAGGAGGGAGTATCGCCTGAGCCCAGCAGGTCAAGGCTGTGGTGGCTGTGAGTGTGCCACTGCACCCCAGCCTGGGTAACAGAGACTCTGATTTAAAAAAAAAAAAAGGAAGCCAGGCTCGGTGGCTCAGCCTGTAATCCCGTGTCTTTGGGAGGCTGAGGTGAGTGGATTGCCTGAGCCCGCGGGTTCGAGGCCTGCCTGGGCA